GCAGGGATGGTGTTCTTCTACAAGCTTCCAGGATGCAGACGGGTCCTGAGAGGCGCAAACCAGTAGCTGGCATGGGCCGGGCACCTCCCGCCCCAGCAGCACAGCGTGGGCAGCTCCTGCCCCAGTGCTGAAGGCGCCACTCCCGGGTGCCAGCTCAGGTGGGCACCCCACGCTCAGATGGCCGCTGCAGTTTCCTTCTCCCTCCGCGTCTGCCCCACAGCCCAGGCCATTGCACCCACACTCCTACCAGCACCCCAAGTCTCCCTAGCTGCTCTGTGGTGTGGGGACTCTCCACGAAGGCCCACAGGAGCACAGAAGACAGGCTGCAGGAGCGCTGACCCCCGGACAGCTCAGACCCTGCCAGCCACCAGCCTTCTTTGCAAATGTACTTTTCATTTGTTGGTGTCCACAGCGCGCAGTGATTCCACGCCTGCGGGGTTGGCACATGCGCAGAGCACATCTCACCCCCGTCCACCCTCCTCCACATCCCCTGCCCACTCCTCTGGTGAGCTCCTTCCCGTCGGAGGCCCCTCCAGCTCGCTGCTTCCTGTTATCTTCTGTTTTGCTCTGTTTTTACTGTGTTTTAGCCGGTGTGTCGGATCCACTCTTGTTCGCCCTAACGGTGCCCAGGTGCACCTATTTTCCTACAGATGACTCAACGTTCATCCTCCCTCCTGGCAGAGTAGCGCCTCACTGTGTGGAAGCCCCTCAGTTTCTCTATCTGCCCACCCGCTGACGGGCGCAGAGGCCGCTTCCGGGACTCAGCCGCCGTGCTCATGCCGCTGTAAACATGGGAATGCAGGCGTTACTGAAGTACCATGCATGAGAACACTTTCAGGAAGACGCCCAGAGGGGCGCAGCTGGGTGCGGCAACATTCCTAGTCTTAATCTCCATCATAAAATGCTAGAGAGGCTGCAGGTAGGAAAGAGCACTTCTCCGCTGCTGGTGTCTTCAACACAACTTCTGTCAGGTTCAAGCCAGAAGCGGCTCTTAGAAGACAATGTCAACTTCTTGGTGTGCATTACGCGGGGCTTCTGGGACCCAGAGGACCATCATGCGTCTGCAGCCCCCTGTACCCCTGGGGACCCCCACCTTTGTGGCCATTGTGTCGGTTTCGGGCCAGGGTAGGGGGTGGTGGTTGCTAGACCCTGGATGTGTTCACACATCTCCATTCCAAAAAGAGAGCCTTCAGGCTAAGGGGCACCTGCAGACTAGGCCTCCGGCCCTGAAACCAGAATCCTCAGCAGTGGGGTGCAGCCCGCTCATCGTGGGCCCCTGCTCTCTGGGCCCTGAGGTCACACCCTGCCCTGCTGGTGCTGCAGCTGACTGTTGCAGTGGCAGATGGCAGCAAGTGAAGCAAAGGACCCCCTATCCCCACCCCGAAAGAGCCAAGCACAAAGGGAAGGAGGACACTTTCTCATGAGCTCGGCCTCCCCCGGATGGACCCCCTTTGAGGACTGCTCACAGCATCCTCAGGAGGAGAAGCCTCCTGACGTCAATTCTCTGATGGCGCACTGTCCAGAGACCTCTGGTGTTAGCTGTGAAGTCTCTCCCGTGGACCAAGGCACGCTCAGGGGCTTGGTCCTGCTCCTGATGTGCGGACCTCCCCAAGCAGTTCCAGACTCTAGTCCACATAGTCCACACGTTTTCAAGATTCCCGAGCCTGCTCCTGCAGGTAGACAGCCTTGTTGCTGCCACAGGATGCCCCCTTGGGGACTGGGGGCAGCTGCTGTGCGTCCTGGGTTTTATCCTGCAGAGCGTGTTGACAGCGCCTGCTAGGGAGACTGCGCACACACAGGTAGCATCCACACTGCTGACCCCACAGGAGGGCGCTCGGAGAGGTCCCGGCACCCGTTACTTTAAAGCAGATTTCAGCAAGCGTGGAGCCGCGGCGCAGAGAGCCCTGCCTGCGCATGCGTGGCTGGAGGCAGGCTGGCTGCTGCAGTGAGTCCTTCTAGAGATGCTGGGGGTGGTGCCCAGAGCAAGGGCGGGGATCCCGTGTGGGCTCCGCGCCCCTCTGCACACCGCTCAGGTGCAGTCCCCCGCAACGCCTCAGCTCAGGGGAGCCTTCCACATCATAAGCACAAATGCGTTCTTTTTAAAAAAAAAAAAATATTGAGAAACAAATAGCAATGAGACAGTTTCAAAACCAATTACTAGCACAGTGTCAATAATTAATACACTGCATACTGTTGTCTTAGTGGTTATTCACTGTAGAAGATGCAGACATGATATCCTGTCCACAAACAATATTAGAACAAATCTCTCTGTTCATTGAATTCAAAGAATGCAGCTCTGCATCTGTTTTGAAAATTCAGATACAAAATGGTCTTTCCTTTGTATCCCTCTTTTGTGGTTAGTTTTGTCAAAGAAGGGCATTCCATTGTCATTTAAATATTGTCGGTGTGTGAATTCAGCAAAATATTACAGCACAATATAGTCCAGTAGTCCGTAATACTAGTAGGTTATCCACAGGACTGGCAGTGTCAGAAGTTGTTGACGTGAGCCTTTGACAGCTCAGCGTGTTAATATGGCTTTACTTTTTATACCTCATTTTTGTACTTTTCTGCTGGATGGTTCAGACCAAGATAAAGCAAGACCTATATAACAAGAAACGCAACTTTTGTAACTGACAAGGTCAGTCAAATCCCCTCAGGATTTATCCTGAAACCCTGTACCACAGTTTGTAGAACCTTTGTCAGTGTCAGCCATGTGGATGAGTCACGGCCATTGTCCATTGTTTGGCCAGTGTGCTCTCTGTGAAAGCCTGAGAGAATGTTTTCTCTCCCTGTGACTCTCCTTAGGAACACTCTACATCTTCGATCACTTTCCTCTGTGGCCCCATAATCTCCTTGATCAGAAAATTTGGGACACTACCGAGTTACATGGTATTACAGGATAAGATCTCCTATGTCCTGAGTCTTCACTGACTTTAGAAGGCTAGGGCCAAAATGTTGTTTGTCCTTGCAGCCCTTCTTTTTCTCTAATTTTTGGTCTGCAAACTTAGGTTGTTAATCCTCCAGAAGAGAAGCTTATTATTATTACTGTACAACATAGGCAATTGAGTTTAACCTCACTATCTGTCTGAGTATCAAACAGCTTAGACATAACATAGAGCAGATATTTTCCATCAAGTATCGATATGTTAAACTTTAAATCTCTCCAGTATGAAGGAAAAAATTTTAATGAAAAAATATTTTAAAAATCGGAATAAACTGTTACATAGTTTTATGCAGAAATTTAGAAATCTAACCATATACAGCCTTGTAGCAGGACAGTCCTGTGACATTTTTTTTCCTTGTCTCTTATTTTCATTTATTATCCTTTTTTAAAAACAAACATTTACTTGAGAGACAATATCACAGTAATTGGTATGTCATGACAAGCAGTACATATTTAGAAGACTGGAATGACAGGCATTCCAAGCATGACCCAACTATTTCACATTGCTATCTTCAGTGCAGTTGCTTGGTTCACAGGTATCAGCATATATAGTTAGTCAGGGTGAGAATCCTACAATTAACTGCTAGTTTCAAAAACATGCTAAAGATTCTCAGGATCATTGCCTTACCCATCTCATGCATATAAATATATGGCTTTGCCCCTGTCATGTTTCCTAGCTTTTCTCCTTGCCCCCTCCTCGTTTTCCAATCCTCAAGTTCTCGCTTTCCTTTTAATTGTGTTATGTCTTTCTATTTGTAATTCTTCTTTTAAGTTCTCACACTACAGAGACTATATGATATTTACACATGTGGGTCTGGTTTATTTGCTTATACCTTCAAGTGGCATCCACTTAAATATGAAGGCTTCAAGATTATCATTCTTTGTAGCTGAGTCATACTCCATTGTATGAAAGTACCACATCTTTTTCATGCATTCCTCAGGTGAAGGGCATCTTGGTTGTTTCCAAGATTTAGCTATCACAAATTGTGCTGCTATAAACATAGGCACACATATATCACTATGATATGATGTTCTTGGTTTCTCTGGGAAAATTCCCAGTAGGGTGATAGCTGGTTTGAATGGGATTTCCAGTCCTAGTTTTTTAAGGAATCTCCACACTGATTTCCATAACGGTTGCACCAGTCTACATTCCCACCA